ATAATTTTTGTAATTTTTTTTCTTATATTCGAAGAAAATACTATATTTCGGGAATAAGTGCTCAAGTATTATACTACCATTTCCGAAATCATATTTCGTCTAAGTAAGTATTATCCGGCAATGGACCAGGCGATCTTGCGATTTCATTAATTAACCGATTATTATCGTGGTAATTTAAGACTTCATATCCGCGATTCAACGCTTAAGCTAATTTCTGCGACATTACACTGTTCACTTCGTTGATTGTCTCTAGTATAATTATCGCAAATTGAATTTTCCTATTCGCAGGCGCACGAGGTGTTAGATCCGGTTAGCGAAATTGAGCAAATTCGTATCGAGCAAGCTATCACTACTATAGTCTTACCCCTCTCTTTTGTTAAATCAAACTGGATCATCCTATATTGAGGACATACTATCATGAGAATACGTTGTTCGATAGATAGAAGATCTCTATATATATATATTTCTGTGTTATTTGATCGAATAGTAGCTGTTCATTTAGCTAATTCCGAATAAAAGGAGCTTAACATTCTACACTGGATATATTTATATATATATATATATATATATAACATGATAGGGAACAATATTATAATAATAATCTTTAAGAGACAGGATGTCTTTGGAAGGGGTCAAAGGAGATTACTATCACCCTTTTGTTAAGTGCTAATAGTGCCATTAGAACGATCGGAGCGAACAAAGGTGGGGTAGCGACAGAATGAGAGGAAGAAAAGGTAGAGGTAGAGAAAGAGGGAAAGAGTCAGAGGGAGAGAGAGAGAGAGAGAGAGAGAGAGAGAGAGGGAGGGAGGGAGCTTAGGGAGCAATGGAAGCATTATTTAAACGAAGGACCATTTCTCCTATGCTTGTGGGTTTGGGTACGCGGAAATCTTACCGCAACGGTATCGCATTAAGCAATGTAGAGGCGTGGACTAAGAAAGGAAAAAATTTGTACCAAGGTTTTTAGGAATGTTAAGATTTTATTAGATAAAAAGGCAAGCACGAAAATCTATACTTTTCACTTAATTTTCTTTTTTGTTCTTTTATTCTTACCACATAATCTCAGCTTGGCGTTTCGCTTAATTCCAAACTATATTTAGAAACGAGCTTAGAAACTCGAGAATGGGTTGTTATGATACTTCCTGTAGCATTATGTTGTTACGAATAGTACTGTTGGGTGGTGTTAGTGGCTAACGTTTGTTGGTGGGCAACAGTTTGAGGAATTTCTAGGGCGTTTCCTAGTTTTCTTCACAATTGCGATATCACTTTGCGGAAATGGACATGCATGTATAGTATGATTCATAAATGTACGGAGAATTCATGTTTCCGGTAGAGTCCATTTACGTTAGGAAAAAAGGAAAAAAAAAAGCACAATTTTGCTCGAACGAACATTGATAATTGATAAGTTTGTGAAAGATTAAAGGAAATATTGATACCTTAACACACGATAAACGTTATTATTTGTTGATGCATTTTAACGTTTACAAATATTTACAATATTCACGAGGCAAGATTGTATTATATATTTCAAACATTGTTCATTTGACTTTCGTATCGTACAGTTTAAATTGCGTCAAATTTATCGCGATTGATTGACCGTGCGTTTTCCTTTAAATCTCCTGTAAATTTGAAATCGTTGTCGTATATATATATATAGTAAATTCTGTTTATTTTCCTTGTAATTAAATTGACGTTGTGTATGAGAAAGTGAGAAAGTGAGGGGTGAAGAGAGGAAATAGAAAGAAATAGATTAGGTAGGGTACTTTTCGTTGTCGGTATAGGTAGAATGGTCAGTATCAAATTGGCGAGAAACGTTTATCTTGTTCTTTCTAATAATAAAGCTATGCTTTAGCAGTATGACCATCATGTTTTTGTTATATAATTTACAGTGGGTACGATAACTCGAGGGTGAAACGTGACTTCCGAAGGCAAGTGCAACGCGAAACCGACGTGAGCGCGGTTGGCACGAGTCCAAAAGTTATAAATAGTTTTAACAGGGCGCGTTTGTTGGTTAATATCGTATACCACTGCCACTTTGATAACGGCCGCTAACCGCTCGGTATATGTACGTAGCTACTTTGACTCTTCCTTTATCCATTTCTCTCTCATTTTCATTCTACCTTCTCTATCTTTCTCTCTCTTTCTCTCTCTCTCTCTCCCCCTCTCCCTTTCCCGTTTACGCGTACACTTCGACATACTTACGTCTATACAAACTCACATGAACGAAGGGAATAATTATACAAACATAACATATCACACGGGGATGGTGAATACAGTTGAAAAGTGTTTCGTGACTTTGTCTTTGACGATAGAACGTTCCGTTCGACGATTTGAAAAACTCGGTATATATCTCGGTTATAATTGCGAGAACAGTCGTTAGTTGTTAATGAAAAAGTAATGGGGTTTGAGAAATAACGATACAGAATAAAATCATAAGAACGATCGATTCACTATATTACAAAATTTTGATCGAAAAAACGGAACCGGACGAAGATTTGTGGTTCGGTTAGACATATCGGTTAACAAAATAATAGTTTATTTAATCGTCTTGTTATCTCATTTTCTATATAATGTTGAAATATATTCTAAATATATTTATATATTTGAGAAGGGTCGTCTATGATCTTTTTAAACTTTCATTATTCATCCCTTTCAAAAAGGACTAATTGCATTCTCATTTAATTCCTCGTCCGGTTGCACTGATGTAGTCGGTAGAAAAAAGGAAAGAAATGTAACACGGTGCGACATTTTTTTGCGATTCAAAAAGAAAAAGAAAATAAAAAAGAACGAGGTAATGAAGGTGTGGAAGGAAAGCAAAAGAAGAAGAAAAAGAAGAAGAAGATGATGAAAAAAAAAGGAAAAGTAAGAGAAGTTCCGCTAATTATATCTCTCTGGCGTGGACCGTCAAAAAAAGGAACGTTCCCCGCGCAGAACGACGAAATAAGTTGGCGGAGGTGTGCGATAAAAAAAGTCTTCTCTGTTCCTCTGCCGAGAGAAGGACGTCGACGAAGGCGTCGTAGTTTTAAGGGGAGTCTCTGCTCTCGACGCAACCAACGCTAGGCAGCTTTCAACTTGAACGTCCTGACGAGAAGAAGAACCTGGACGTTTAGCTCTGGAGGGAAAGAAAGAAAGAAAGAAAGAAAGAAAGAAAGAAAGAAAGGAAGGAAGAGGAAAGTCGAAAGAGGACGGAGGGATGGGAAAAGAAAAATGACGACGAGGGTAAACAGAGTTAAGTGAAGTTAACGGCGAAGCAAGAAGAGCGGCAAAAATGACCCCGGGAAAATTACCGCACGCGAAACGGCTTAATGTCTAAAAAGACGAAAGAAAGAGGGGAATAGGGCATCAGAGTGGGGTCATGATAGTGCCAGTGTTAGAAAGAGAAAAAGAATAAAAGAGGAAGAGGGAGGAGAGTAGCTAGAGCCGCTTAATGACCATCCGGTACATTCGTATCTCTTCTAGATGGCTCCCTTTTTCTCTTTCTCTCTTTCTATTTCTTTCTCTCTTTTTTTTTTTCTCTCTCTCTCTCTCTCTCTCTCTCTCTTTCTTTCTCTTCTATCTCCTCTTTACACCCTTCTACTTTTCCTCCAACTCGTTCTTTCATTCTTTCTTTCTTTCTTTCTTGCTTGCTTTCTTTCTTCCTTTTTTTCTTCTTGTTTTTTTATTCTTTTCTAGGTTTTCCTCGGTTACGGAGTTGGGCACTGCTGGAACCATTATCTGTAATTGCTTTCCTTAATTCGACGCCGGTTCGCTGCATTAGCGTTAGAAAATATTCATGGTACGTATTGGAACAAGAAGAACGGTTAATAATAACTTCACTTAAATGACACGACGATATATTATATATAAATCGAAATGCAATTTACCGAAATTCGCAGTTATCTTCATAGAGGCTTCTATTATAGACAATATATATTCAATTTCAATTACCTGATTTGTGTAAAAATGATTGATCTTTGACTTATTTCGAAAATGGTTCGAAAATGTCGTTGGATTATCGTTATATTATAAATTATATTACAGTAGTATCTTACGAATGCACATCATAGTTATCTATATAAATAATGCAATATATTTATGTAGGAAACAGATAGAGAGAGAGAGAAGGAAACGGATGTAGTGCGTTGGTAGTTTGGTAATGTTGTCTCGTGAGGGTGGGTTATTCGTCTTACTTACTCCCAACCGTTGACACCACCCACAGGAGCAAGCCCATTCGTTTCCCAAAAGAGGCACCAACCATGTGTGATCCCGAGGGAATCCTTGGAATACGGTAACACGTTGTCGATCGAGGAAAGTCGTCGACTGTTACTTACTAATCTCACTAAGATCTTGAACAGTCAAGAACGTTACATGAACATCGAATGTTACCAGTCGATACTTTTCCCGTATTTAAGGTTATATCTCTTAGGGGTTGGTTTGGGCAACATACGGATCACTGTGGGCTACGTTTCTCTCGTTCCGGTTGACCGGTCTACCCGTTTGCTTGCTTGCTTCCTTGCTTGCCTGCAGTCGTGCTAACTCAGCTGGTTGAACGTGGCACGTGATAGGAAATTATTCATTCTGTCGTAAGGCGGCTTACGTACATTATATCCAGCCGCTTGTTTTTCATACGATCTTAGATAAAGCACCATTTCACAGACTCTTCTAAGCTACGTCATCCTCGCATTGTTCACTTTCATAGGGTAACGTTAAACGTATTTGCGATCTGTTTTCGACGTGATAAATTGTCTTGGAAGCGTACGAAGTAATACCGAGCTCGGTTTTACTTTTGTCCCATGTCATTTGACATAGGTTACCAAAAGAATGGAATATACGTGATATGTAGTATCAGTCATATAGTGAAGATAATTTGCGGATTTCTTTAGGAAAAAAAATTAAAAAAGGATTATCCAAAATACCTACAAGTATTATACTAGGTATGATATAATACGAATTAGACACACACACACACACACAAACAAAACATATAAGAATAGGAGATAACAAAATACAAAAAGCTCACTTACCAGTCCGTTTTTCAGCATCTCTATACGTAACTTCACTGAGAATTGCTGGTTGGCTTCGGCCTTTGGCATTTACAGCATAAACCGCGACGTGAACGCCAGCCTCAACCGACGCTTCCAGACCCGAAAGCGCGAAGGATGGTTCCTCGGTGTTGGTAACGTTATAGAGAGGCTGGATGGTCGACAGGAAGTCAATATCGCCATGATAGACCTCTAACACAAATTTCTGCGTCAGTCCGCCATCGTATCCGGCCACGCATTTCACTTCCACGCTCGTATACGTCTGATTGGCCAATGTGCAATTTCGAACGGAAAATGGTTTTCCTAGAAAAGAATATTTGTACGTATTTGTAATACGAAGTAATATGAAATATTAAATAATTATGTATGTTGTGTGGAGAAAAGAATTTATAGTTTCTTTTTTTTCTACCCTCTCGTATTGTCAAAAGATCTATCTTTTATTATGTCTGTCGATAAAGAAGAAGAAAAAAAGAGAAAACGTACTTTTATGAATTTTTTATTACTCATATTCATTACACATTATTAGCCCCATTTATGAAACTTTTTAATTTCACGAAATACGATATTACTTTATCCCTCTTCGTATAGGAAACGTTTGTAATCTTGAGTTATGATTTTCATCAAAGCGCATTTATCATACCGAATGAAATTTATTACGATAAATGTGTCCTGATTTTGACGATAATTGATGCAATTCTCTGCACATTTTTTATATATTATATATATAATTTTATTTTTATTTTATTTTTTGCAAGGAAAAAAATTCTTACAGATTTAACTATTTATAAAATAATTCTTGTTTTCTTTTTTGTACTACGTATAATATTTTGGTTATTTTTCCTGTTTTTATATTTTCTCTTTAGGCAGTTTTCATTTATTTTGATTTTAAACGGACGTTGACGCTGAAATTTAACCCGTTCGGTACTGTCACATCTATTTCCATCGCAACCAAACAATTTTCATGTATAATAACGATAAAGGCGTTAAGCATAAAATTTGTATCTACTATCAAAATATCGCATATACAAATATTCCTTTACTATGTATATTTATATACATATATGTATACATACACGTATACATATTTAAAGGAAAAGCTTTAATATCAAAGCGAGTACATGTTTGAAAAAGCGAATTGAAGGTAGGTTATACCTAGTTCGATTCACCAAGTAGAAATATTGCGAATCGCAGAGTTTATTATTTCCGTTTTAATATCCGTTTTGAGCGTGTATTTATATAACATTGTATGGTGTTACGAATATCATTTTTTTTGCTTTTTTTTTTTTTTCTAACTACTTTTTTCTTTTTTGTTGCGCATACGATATTCTCGATAACGTTTCCTTTTCGAGAACGTGGTTTGCGCAAAATTTATTTCGATGTAGCATGTAATAAATAATAGGGAATTCTTTGGAGTAATTTACAGGTCAGCACGTTTTCTTGCCGGGTTGCCGTCTCTTCGCATTTTATTACACTACCTTTTTTCACCCTTCTCGTTTCTTTTTCCTTTCTTTATTTCTCTCTCTCTCTCTCTCTCTCTCTCTCTCTCTCTCTCTCTCTCTCTCTCTCTCTCTCCTTCCTCTCGCGAGAAAAGAAATCCTCGAGAAAGGACGACACTAGGGATATTCGAATAAGAAGAAGAAATTGCTAACCGATACCAATATAATGGTAGGCTGAAAATAATTTCGTTTCGAAAGTAAGTATAATAGCAAATGCAAAGGAAAAAAGGTTTCTCTGGAAGATATTTGGAAACTAGGACGAATGAAATGGGAACGATGAATTTTCCGATACACGGGACAACAAAATAAGAGGGGAGAGATAAAAAGGTGAGAAAAAAGTGGTTGCCTGTTTTATTTTCTAGCCCACAATTTCACCCACACGGAAGCATATTCGTCAATGTCAATAGTTCGTCGAGTGATCGTCGCGTCAACGTCAGTGTTGATCGCGCTTGGAAAAACGACGAAATTTTAGTGGAAAGTCCGGCGGTGAGGATTAACGTCACCATGACGTGTGATGATAGGTTGACTCTGTTGCACTTGCAATGATCCCTACCAGACTTTATGAATGGAATAAATCCTTCACATTAAGAACATGAAAAATTCTCAAACTATTATTTCATTGTACCGTTTGATTGTTTTTTTTTTTTTTTTTCATTTATTTCTTTTAATTTTTTTGTTTTTGTTTCCTTTTCTTTTTTAATGAATAACAATGTTACACCATCACTGTTAATAAGGGACGTTAGAAGGAACGAGATTATTTGTGCAGTTGTCTGAATATACTCATGATTATCGTACTTTTGCTAGAATTGTTTCAATTAACACGTAAAATGGAAAAACGAAGAAATAAAACGCTTGCGGTGGATGCGATTTCTCTTGATATTCTCAAATAGGAGGAATTATCCGTAATGGAAGAGGAATTAACTGGGACGATCCCCGAATAATTTACAAGCGTTAAACTTTCGCATCCGTAACTCTATAATGTTGGATAACTATTTACATCGCCACACATACCTTCAAATATTTTCGGTACGGATGGTAAAACGAGAAAGTTTAATAAGTGTAAGGATATATATGTCCTTTCTTTTCTTTTAAATATATATTTATTTTTCTTACTTTGGAAATATAGTAAATCTTTTTATATTATTAATTTATCAATGAACACAAAGAAAATGATTTTTTTATATTATGTAAATTTTGATCAAATTAAATGTCGAATAATCTGTATATTTGAATATGTTATATATGCTTTAAAAAATCTTCTTTACTTTTGGTAGAAGTATTATAAGGTTTTCTAAAGAACAGTTATATACTTACTCATGGGAAAATAAAATTTTGAGTACTGTTTCGAAGTAATTCCACCTCGTAATGACTATGGGTACGTTCACGTAAAGCAATCAAATAACTTGAAACGAAATTCAATTTTCTGTATGGAATTGATTCAGCACCGATGGAGTACAGAAACGGTGAGTCCTCGTATCAAGTACGTGAAACTTTTCTACTTTGTAAAATGCTTTTAGGATGATTTCCTTGGAGCTATGTAGGTATAGGTACTTACCTATGTACAGATATACCTACGTAAGATCTAGAATCGGTCAAAACCACGGTCTGATACAGATTTCATATATTTAATATATTTAATTAAAACCCTGCGGTCTCGTAGTAACGGTGTTTATAACACTTCCGGCATTTTATTAATGGATTATGCTCGAAGAACAAACCAACTAACATTTTCAACCAGCTAAATTAATTTCAAACAAATGATCAAAAGTTCGTTTTAATTTATACTTTATACCTTTCCTATCCAGATATAGATTTTGTATAGAATTAAATAATTGTTTTGGGAGAACGCCGATAACTTTAATTGAAAACTTTTACGTATATATTAACCCATTAAATATCGATTTCATTTGAAGACATTTTTAACTAATTCAGTCTGCCAATAACTTTCGTAAAATACATTTCTCGAATACTTTTAAGAATGTTTACGTATATCTCAACGCAAATTCGATTTATTTTTTCTCTTCGCGTATTGATACATCATTCGCGTTGAAAAATAAACAAACAGACTTTACGTAAAAACGAAGAAGTTTACATACCTACAGCTCTTAAATATTTTTGTTCAAATTCATTTAACTTATTATATATATATCGTATTTCATTTTCGTAGATGATAAGATAAAAAACTGTAAGAGACGAATATTCTATGTGAAAAGAATGTATTCGGAAATTCGGTGAAACACGTTTGCGATTAAAGGGTGTACGTGGTTTGGAACTATAAATCCTTTGACGACACGGATCGAACGAGAGGAATTAGCAAAATGGAGTAGGAGGCAGGGAGGAAGGACAATGTAAAATGGAGTTCTGCCGTGGACGTTTCCCTTCGCTTTGGTGGTAAGGAATTTACGATTTGCAAGGTCCGTGTGCTCGATGCTTGTCCGTTAAATACTTACCAGCAGCTACCAACTGGAAGAGACACGGTCTCGCTTGGGTACCGACGAGATTGTCCGCCCAGCAGGAGAGCGTTCCGTAATCCAGCTCGGTAGTTGGCGTGTAATTTAACACGCTAACGCCACTCGACTTCTCCATCGAGAACCTTGCAGGTGAGACCTCCAAGGTCTCGCCGCTATTGTTGAACTTCCAGCGAAAATTATGAGCTGGTGGATCGGCTTCGACCCTGCAAGCAATGTCCAAAGATTCGCCTCTCGATGCTCCGACCACTATGATCCTGTCGTCCTTACAAACTGGCGCGACTGTGAAAATCAAAAAGTGGAAAACAATTGAACAAATGATTTCACAATCTTATCCGTATTTTCATTTGATTAAGTTGTATGAATATCTAGGGGAAATAGTAATCTCTTAGATGAATCAATTGAAGCTTTAGATTTCCGAGGGAGGGACAACGATCAAAGTCAATAGGTTGGTTAACATACGTTGGTTAACCGTGTTCGTATGGAGAGGAACAGTAACGTGGCGGAACTCGCAATACCACGATCATTGTCAGGAAGTAACAGGTTAACGACGGATCGCCGGAACGTTGGGTTTCGATCAATTAAGATCCATTCGCTTTGATTCCAATCACGTAATGAACTTCCCCGGAGAGAAACACAGATGTTAGGTAGGTAGGTAGGTAGGTAGGTAGGTAGGTAGGTTGGAAGCGAATCGCTCCTTTAATCGGCATAGGTTTGCAATTTACAATCGATTCTCGATGCGATGCAATTCTAAACGAATACGACGCCACGCAATTAGACATTATATTCTAACGTTAAATAAATGTTATAAAATAAGTATTATATATGCGTATCTATCTAACATAACATCCATTTTGAAAAGTTAATCGAGCCGAACGAATCTCGCGTTAATCGAGTTTCTCGATAAACTTTATCGACGAGTATCATCCGCGTTTGGGCAAAGGGGGAGGACTTTCCCTTCGCCAAAACTCGGCTTTGTTAGACTCGGCAGGAAATTACCATTGTCGGGCGGAAAGATAAATTTTTACTGCGGCCCGGTTTCTTTGCCGAAACGAGAAAGAGTCTGGTCTTCATTAAACGACGAGGACATTAATTATGGGCCATAATCTCCGAGAATGTTCTGACGAGCGTCGAAAAGGGGAAGGGCCTCGGAGAATCCTATCCTCCTCCTTTCGTTCTCTGCACATCGACATCCCTCAAACTTACTTAATCAACTTGTCCTCTTGATATTACCTATTCTACCATACTTCCACAAAATTTTACGTTTAAAACTCTTGACAAGAATTAGTCTTGTTTCGGAGGTAAGATCATGGAAAGTAAATGAAATGCAGAGAGAATTCGCTCACGGCTGATGAATTTTCTCTGTTAATCGTAAATAACTTGCGGAACAGACACGCGCACATTTTCATTCTTATTATATTATATCCTCCATTGCGTACCTATCGAGTTAGTTTCTCTCGCATATTTTAACCTACCTTTATTCTCCTCTCTCTTTCTCTCTATCTCTTTCTTACTTTTGTTAACCGACGTTAATTCCGTGCGTCTCGTAAGCCGTTAAAACGAATTGGTTTCTCTCTATTGCAGTATACACGATTAGAAGGCAGAACGTTACAGTTAAACTGTATGATATATAATATCAACCCTACAGAAACAACTATGAAAAGCGTTGTTAAGTGAATAACAGAATTTTGTCTGGCAAGCCATTGTTCAAATTTTCACGAGAAACGATATTCAAAGTCGCGTCGTTATTTATTGGTCGTCGTCGTCGTCGTTGTCGTTGTCGTACAATGATCGATCGTTCGTTTTTTTATATTATTGTCGTTTTGAGCAAAAAATCTTTTCTCAAGGATTGACCTTTGATGAAAAAAAAGTAAGAAGAAAGACAAGCAGTTGATAACGATAGCGCGTGTCGCTTTCGAAGCACGCTTTGGCATTTTGTCACAAAACGACTTTTACGAGCGTACGACTCGCCGAATCGTTTCTTCGACACGAGTTATGCAAAAAGGCCTTTCTATCTTTCTTTTTTCTTTATCTCTTTTCTCTTTCTCTCTCTCTCTCTCTCTCTCTCTCTCTCTCTCTCTCTCTCTCTCTCACTCACGTCGCATCTTTCCTAGTGATATATATTTGTAACGATTCGTTTGCCTTTATCTCAACTGCCTTTATCTTCTTTTCCAATTCTCCCTTTCTCCCTTTTCTCTCTCTCTCTCTCTTTCTATCTCTATCTCTATCTCTATCTATCTATTTATCTATCTATCTATTTCTTTTTCTCTCTCTCTCTGTCTCTTTCCTTCTTGTTCTTTCTTTATTAGTCTTTCTCCCTTTCACTCGCTATTTTATAAAAGAAGAGAAACAAATAAAGTAAAAAGAAAAAAAAAAAACACATGAGCCCTCGACGAAGAAGGAAAGTAAGAGGGGGGAAGGAAGGGAAAGACGAGATCGTGCCTCGAAAGCAAAGAACCTTGTCTGTTCGCACGGTGATGGGGGATAACGTCGGTTACGACCTAGGCCAATCTTCCTGAGCAATTTTTTTTACAGACACCTTTCTCTCCCGACGCCGAAAGAGCAATCGAATCTCGACAATGCGTGTAAATATCCAACACTCGACGACATGTAACTCGTGCGCGTCATTCTTAGTAACTTGTTACTTCGAAGAAAATTTCTAAAATACGAGAATGTATTTCTCGTTTAAATATTAAGAGATCTACGAATCAATTCGATTGAATTCGCAACGTCGAATTTTTCATCCCAGTTCTAAAGTCTTTGTTATTTTAACGTAAGAAATAATACAGGTATTTTCAAGATTAATCTTTTAATAAAACAAGTTAATATAATATTTGTAGCTCGTTTACGAAAAAAAAGAAATGGGAAAAATAATAAAAAAAAATAGACGGATTATAAATTTATATTTAATATATGCTTTTTTTTTTTTTTTATATAAATTTATGTAACAATATTGTAAGATTCGTGGAAAAATTCAACCGCTGGATTGACCAGACCGGAGACTCGAACCACGGATCTTTTGCTATCCATTGAATTATCCAGAGCCCATCATCCAATCCTTCCACGAATGCGTATTTAAGTAATGCTCGTCTTACAATATTAATCTAAATACTTAGATTATATACCTTTTAACAGCTGTTCTTTTTGATTATAAATCGTGTTAAATGCACTGGCTGACGACGCCCATTAGTGTCACTCGAATTGTGTTAATTTTAGCACAAACACAATTTCCAGGAGTATCATTAATTTGAAATCAGTAATATAAAATTGTGTAATAATTAACGTCATAAATAGATTGGTTAACATTTAATCGATATACGATATATCGACACGAACGTTAATTGGATATTTACAAGCAGCAACTAATTAATGAATACCAATTTAGCAAACAATTAAAATAACGAAAGCGTACAGAGATATCGTTTCACTTTCACTCGAATCGTTAAATTCGTTTTCTCGTACTATTAATGACAGGACGAACGACATAACCAACTCAAACAATTCATTTCTCGCACCTAAGGCTTTGCATGTATATTTTACGACGAAAGTTGTTCTTTTATTTAGAAAATGTTTGGTGATCTTTGCTGTACATATATTTTCAGGTATACCTGCAGAATACTCGTCCTAATAAATCATCGGGAGCATTGCGGATGGAGGAAGGAGAATTTATAACTAGCGACAAAATTTATTAACGCTCGATGACAGATTTCTTCGGTATGCGACCATAATTTATCCATCATATTAATCCCAAGGGTGCAAGATCTCATTTATAATGTGGCCGCTGGCGGCGTAAATGTTGGGTGCCGTTATTACATTGGAAAAGTAAAATTTAGAAACGATGAAATCTTTGAATTTAGAGATCCTCGTAAGATTGTTGTTTATCGGTGCTCGTTTTATTGATTTTTATGGTCTCATTAGAAATTCATTGTTAAGTAGATATTAATGATCGAGATTTGGATCAAAAGGTATAAAGAAAGAATATTTGGAATGTAATGAAGTTCTCGATAAAAAAGTTGAAAAGTATTCGTCTACTAGTACTATATATCTTAGTTACTTTGTTAGTAATGAGCTCGATAATAAAAAAAGAAAAAAAGTTCTTTCTTGGTAAAAAGAATCTGTATTTTTCTTCCAAGTTATTAGAGCTCGGTAGTTGACCCCGTCGACGCTACGCCATAACCTGGGAATTGGGTATTAAAAATGTATTCGATGCTAAGCACTCGTGAAATATTCAAGTCCGTTGAGATCCTCAAGGTTTCGCGATCTCTCGTGTCTACGTATATATGGGTTGAAATACATGTATCGAAAAGTACGATCTTTCCGTTGGTTATATCAATGAAATGTAAATAGTGGAATCGTCTAGAAAACTGTGATTCGCGTTCAACAAGATTTGGAGTGATTTACTCCTGACGAGAAAGTGTTCGAGATTTTCGATTGATATTAAAATAAATAACTCACATTTAACGCGAAAGTGTAGAGGCTCGCTTCTCGTTTCGTTAAGGTCATTTGTTGCTGCACAAATGTAACGACCTGCACTGCTCCTTGTGACGCTCTGCAGGACGAGGCTCTGATTCGACCAAATGATTCTTGCCGATGTATTGTGCGCCAGGATCTGGTTCTATAACATGCAACAGACAACATAACTTGGATGTATTATATTATAACAATTGGTCGTACAAGGAGAGCATTATGTTCTGACGTAATTTTCAAGGACGATAACGTGCACGCATCTCTGACAAAAGGTAAAGAAATAAAAGCTTTCCTTCTCTTTCTCTCTATTTCAACTTTGCTGTTGCTGTATCTCTCTGTGCTTTTCCATCCTGTGTTTTCTTTGCTTTAAAGTTGCAGAGCTTGAAATCGCAATTTCATCGCTCGTTACTTTCTAATTTTGCGACAAATTAGAGATAACCGGTTCTACCTATAAGATACCAGAGTTATCCTTGTTGCAAGTAGAATTTTTTTTTTACTCCAAGACAATTTATTGCTCTTTCGTTTACTGCCGAGTCGGTATCTCGGTATGCAAGATAAAGAGAAAAGCGTGTTACTAAATGCGTCATCTCGAGGATACGACGTTGTACGAAATTTTCTTGTTACACAATAATGCGCGTGTTCTTCTACCTTCCTACGTACTTACGTATGAAAACATTGATAAATTTCTTGCAAGGATTTCTTCTTGAAACTGGTTTTAAGGAAAAAGGAAAACTAGGCTTATTCGAATGACAAATAAATCGAAGATAAAACAAATTGCATTCATTCAAAGTCAATGAATGGCTTAAAAAAGAAGACATTTTTGTTGTTGTTATTCGTTTTATTTAAAAAAGAAAGTTCATTCTTCACGAAACGTCATATAAACGTCGTAAAGTCATGCTTGTCTGTATTAAAAGTGTTCGTTCCTTCGAAGGCAGCTGTTATAATCGACGAAAGCCCGTTATAACCTGCGAGCGATAGTTCGTAAAGAAGATATTAAGCGTTGCAATTTATTATTCGAGTTACGTCTATGCGTAACGTATAATAATGTATTATATATCCTTCCCTACTGTCAGACGGTCGACGTGGAAAGAATATTGCTTCTCCTTTTATTGCGAGCACATTACCCGCGAAGTGGACATTTCTACCGAAATATGTGGCTCGATAACTTTCATGATAAAAGATACCGCTGTTCTTGTCTTTACTGCGAGCTTATGCGCGAAGGTACTTCGATGGATATTGCCAGATGACTATTATTTGAAAACTACTCTATTCGAGGACGGCAATAATTATAATCTAGAAAATATCTTTCAATTGTCGTTATTTATAACTCTAATGTAATTTTACCGATGGCGTAATATCCGAAAACATTCGGAAATATGAACAATTGTATGATATTATAGAAAGATTTGTTTGTTTTCTTTTTTATTTGAAATATGCTTAACAGCGACGATACTTTATTTCTATACAAAAAATAAAATGATATTTAATCGTCTCGTTGTGCTTATTACCAACTAATTAAACATCTTCCAACTTCCGAGTAAGTATACAACAAGAGAACAAAGAAATACTAAAGTACTCTTTCTCGACTGTTGACGCTCAACCACAATTGTTGTAAGAATATTTCAGGACAAATAATATTCACGTTGTTTCAAAAATTTATCATAGTATTTAAATACTCTCGACATTTTTTTAATAAATCGTCCGTTGTATTATCTTTATACCATTTCTTTCAGGATATTCAAAAAGAAACATCTAATGTTCTTGACAATTAATACCGAAAACAATGCTGGTTACAATGCATTTCATTTCGAAAATGATTTTTATTTTTTATTTACATTAATTGAAGTATGTTTGTTGGTTACGTAATTACAGATATTCCCATCTTTAAAATCGATCGATGAATAAATTAATGGCGTATATAACGAGCTCTCAATTTTGAAGGACCCTGAATAACCAATATTCAAAATAGTGGATTCGCTTTGTTAGATCTAGACAAAAAGAATTGAGGTCATGGGTAGAAAACACGGATTTCATTAGCCGTTATCTATACACTATTCGCTTTAATCATCAAGTCGAATGAATGTAGGGAATTTGATAGAAATATTACAGAATGAAATAACACATAGACGCAATACATCGTTTGTTCATATATTCTCAGCTTTTTCCAGTTAGATAGGATAGCTTTGCATTATCGTTTTTTACATTGCTTCTTTCAAGCGTTAACAGAATAGATATTTCAAACTTAGTGTCAATATTGACCACGTCGGGAATACATGAAGAGTAGTAACCTGTGTTTGAATAATTAGATCGTATCGGTCAAATACATATGTGAAGTCGATTTGTACTTCCTCATATATGTTATTAAACTCTGCATAGTGTTTAATCAAGTTAAACGGAGGATCGGCAGATTGAGATTTCATTATGGTTTATTACGATTATGTCGATTTCTATCTTCCTATACTTGCTAATTCGCCATCAAAAACGTGAACATATTTTCAAACGGAATAACGATAGGTATCGATCGAATAATCATCCATAATAGATTATGTCATCCCCAATTCGATTCGATAATCTTCGTAAGATCAACATTCTAAATATCTCTTTAAATCTACAGACAAAAATTATATAGTTCATGGTCATCGGTGAGTTGATCCCTCATTTCGTGCAATTATCGTAAATCATTCTCTCGCGATGCCAGAATTACGAAATATAATAGATAATACCGCTAAAAATATAGTCAAGGCTGTTTCGTTAATTAACGTTGCACGATAAGTATCCTTGAGTTATAACTACAGATGTATTGGACGTTGTTGGTTAGATATATGATACATATGGGATTGGGTGAAGATCGTTATTCGGAAATTTCCTTCTTTGTCTTTCGTTATAAGTCGTTTTCTCAGTACGCTTCGGTGAGAGGTTAGCTTTTGTTGTTTTGTTTTTTATTGAGACCTCTTTCCCCATCTCTTTTCCTTTCCTCCTTAGGTATATCTCTTTACCTTACAGTCGTATCCCCCATTACACCAGCATACTCTCTTTTCTTCTGTCCCATTGGAATCCGTTCTTCGAAGATAATTCGAAATCGATTTGAAACGAGGCTATTTGAATGTTGAGAGAAACTGCAGAGAGTTCTCCGAATATTTTTTTTGTCTCTTCCCACTACTTCCTTTCGATTATTTTTCCTTCTTTTTTTTTTTCTCTCTCTCTCTTTCTTATTTTATCTCGTTCGTTTTACTTTTTCGTCTTCGTCTTCGTCTTTTTTTATTTCTTCATTTTGTAAAGAAATTGCGAGGAAAAAGAAATAGGGGAAATTCATTCGCGATCGTTGTATATAATTTTTTTTTATTTTTTTTAATTCATGCCCGGCGTATATACGTTGGATATTCCTTCTCGAATTTCTGTGCTTGTAGAATTTCTTAATGGGAAAGTACTTAATTACTTGCGCGTGATTAAATGATCGCAAGAGAAGGGGAGAAGAAACGGAAGCTTGATTCGCGCAGTGAAATAATTGTAGGTAGGGGATAGACTGATGTATAAGAAACGATTTGTTAACGGTCTTTCCTCGATTAACTTATATTAATTATTTGATCCGAAAATAAAGCCCCCCCATAGTACGAGTCATTATTTGTCTTGACTAGGAGTACGGAAGGCACGGTCTGACCAAAATCGGTAATGAAAATGATGGTTCTATGTTTAAGGTGTGTGTGCAATTATTTATAGCGTTAATTTAATAGGAGAAAAAATTACTAAAATAAATAAGACAAAAAAAGAAGCTATATGTATACCATATATATATATGTATATAATATATGCTTGACGATGATGAAAGTAACCGGATAGATGTTTTCAGCCATTAACATGCTAACTCAATTAAAGTACATTGTAATCTATGCAAGCGTAGTTTCATGTGGTCCAGCTAGGTAAGGAGAGTTAGCACGCTTAGCATAGGTTAAGCCTTGGTTAAATCCTGGGGTTTATCTTCGATTTACTTCGAACCTGGGAGCAAAAGGGATGAAACTAGGAAGTAAGGAACCGCTAAGCATTATACCTCGTTAGGAAATATGGCAAAATTTAACGCGGCCGTCTACTTACTCTTATTTATTTTATTTTTTTTCTGACCGCAGACGTTATTGTTTTTCTTTCTTTCCTTATTTTTCGTTACTGTAAACGATAAGCCAATATCATCGATGGTGATATCGTTCATTTTGATTATCTTTCACATTCGATTTTTATCTACACGCCATAGTAGCATCGATTTTCGTTGCTTGCCTTCTTTTAACTGGAACAATGCTGTTGTACAAAAGAAGAGTGTCCAGCATTTAGGAACGGCTAACCATTTTTCCACGTTGAAGAATCCGAAGTCTTCGTCAGAAATGGCAACCTAACGGTTCCTTCACGCTTTCTACCTTCTTCTTCTTCTTCTTCTTCTTCTTCATCGTGAGAGGCAAAAGTTTGAAGTTTTCTTTCGTTCCAGCTGGTCCTTCTCTATCCAGTTAGTCAGACTCCTAAGATCTCCTCCCTTCCAACTCTTTCTTCCTCTCCCTCTCTCTCTCTCTATTTTTCTCTTTTTCTCTCCGTTTTCCCTATCCCTGTCTAAGTTTTTCTTTGTCGTTACGACAAAGTAGAAGGAAAGTAGCAGTAGCGAGCTTTGTGTAGTTAGCTCTCGACTTTCGTTTATCTTTTCTTGCGACTAAGTAAGTCATTCTCCGAAAAACCTACTATACATCCAACGTTCAAAATTCCTCTCCTTACCTATCTATTCACTCGATTCTTCCTTCCCCCTTCCCCCTTCCCTTCCATTCCCTTCCCATTTTCTTCTCCCATTTGATCCGTTTCTTTTATTATCATTCCTTTTCGTGACTGTTGTTTTGCCCTTTTATCAAAGTAATAGTTACACTCGGAACGAATCGAATTTTATTTCAACTAGTTTGCATAGAAAAGTTTAACGAAAAACGATTCGGAAATGTTTCGTGACCGTAATGCTAATTGTTAGTTGTTTAAGATTGAAATGTGAGAGAGAGAGAGAGAGAGAGAGAGAGAGACTCTAACTTAATGTTATTAATTTAATTTCCTTATTAAATTTAGTCGAAAGCAAGACGAGTCCCTTTGATCGTTCGGTTTCAGGGATAGAGGAACGACGAAAGCTTCATC